AATATATATATATATATATATATATATATATATATATATATATATATATATATATATATATATGATGACTAAGGTATCGTATAATTTATTAATTAGATGTAAAATTTTTGGTGAAAAATGGCATTAATGAATTTTCTACAGCCCACTAAAAGAAAGAAAGGAAGGCACCTAATAAGGCAGACAACAATAATTAGCAGAAGAAAACATACCAGATCAGTGGACTTTTTCCCATTTACATAACTTCAAATCAGCTAGTCAGCAGACCACCTAACATAGCTGTATCCTCCATACGATTCCGTCCATTTTTTCTCATCAAATAATGTGACACATTCACAATCATCTGATTAAGATCACTTAACGGCAACAGAAAGGTTGTATAATTAGTAATTTGATGTAAAAATTTGAAGAATTTTGTTTTTGAATTTTTCATATTAATGAATTTTGCAGACCATTAAAAGAAGGGAAGGAGACACCTAATAAGGCAGACAACAATAATTAGGAGAAGAAAACATACCAAATCCGTGGACTTTTTACCATTTACATTAACTTCAAATCAGCTACTCAACAGACCACCCAACATAGCTGTTCTCCACAATGACTCTACCTCCATGATATCCAAAAGTCTGAGAACTCTGACTCAAATCAGGACTGTGATTGGCTTGGCACCACCAATCTCTAGTGGTGCAAAAACCACCAGATAAATTCCATGTCCATTATATATTGCTGGTTTTCCTCCATTGTTGCACTCTTCCATTACTGCAAGGAGATTATCATAAGCTGTGCTCTCATGAAGGAAACTTTGAAGTACTTAGCAGGAGTTGCAGGCCCCAGTGGTTATGGATCAAACTCAACTGCTGAGCAAGTCACACAAGATTGTTCTTCTTTTCTTCCTCCTCATCTCACTGCAATTGTCACTGGTGAGCCTCTCAAATCATCTTTGACTGCATAGAGAATATATAATCTTCAAACTTATGGATATACCTATATATACATATATAGTGCATGCATGGGAAGAAGATTCAATTGTTTCAAAAAAAATACACTTGGAATTTTTTATAAGCAATTTTTTTTTCCTCCCAAAAATTTTTTTCCCATTTCTTAAGATATGGGAGATATAGTATATTTGTATGGGAATTTAGATTCTTTCAAAGATTAAATTAAAAAAAAAAGGTTGCTATCTTTCCTTTGGTTTTATACTTTTTGGGTCATGTACCATATTTACTATAATATTTCACTTCTTTCTTTTCCATTTTCTCTTTTATACTTTCTTTTTGTGGAACCCTTGAAATCTTTGAAGAAGCATATATACCAATGTGATGGAATTCAAATCCTTAAATTCCTTAGTGTTGGGTATCTAAATTTCCTAACAAGTTCTGATTTCCTTTGTTCTTTCTCATCATCAAGAACATTTCACTTTTTAATTAACTTGACATTTTCTGCTACAATGTTATTATCAGTAAACAGTCTATAATTGAAACAAAGAGAAAAGAGTGAAGATATGTTGGATTTGTGATGCCCATCACCTTTTTTTTTTCTTTTTTTTTTTCTGATTGAGTGCCACACAAACACACGCTCACACTCACACACACACACACATATATATATATTTACACCTGAAGATTGTCATCTGTGCAGAGACGACTTTTTCTGTTTAGCCTAATGATTTCTTCAATTTATAATTTAAAAATGTATCATAGGGAAGAAAATTCTTGTCAAATCTAATAGGTGCATGCAGGTGTAGAATTTCTCAGGATTTTTTTGAGTAAAATACTAGATCATGATAATCTGTGAAGCATACGTTTCTTCTTCTATATCTTTCTCCTCCAATCAATAATTAAAGTATATAAATATATATACATATAATATTATATAAGTGGCTCTTTTTTAGATTGTCTCAACTAGCAAGGTATGTGAATTTGTCTCTTATGAATAGTTCTCTCTCGTTGGCGCATGCAGCATCATTGCTTTCTGGACGGTAGTCACCAGTACTCATCTCATTTGTAATATTAAAAAATTCCATGCATTTCCATGGTATAAAACAAAGTGTCCTGCTTGTATAAATCATAATTTAGATCTTACGGCTTATATTTACATACTTTAAACACAATGTAGCTTTAACCACAGTACAAAAAAAAAATTCCTTTGCACAGGGTACCCTAGTAATGTACACAAAAAAAACAGTGTATAATTGATTCTAAAAAGATTTCACAAAAACTTTCTAAGTTTTGGTAGCTTGTGTTTTGTATGCAAAAGGAGCAACATCAGGCATTGGAGCAGAAACAGCAAGGGTACTAGCAAAGAGAGGGGTGAGAGTGGTACTTCCAGCAAGGGACTTGAAGAAGGCTGCTCAAGTGAAGGAGGATATCCAAAGGGAGGTCCCAAAGGCTGACATCATTTTGTTGGAGATTGATCTAAGCTCATTACCTTCAATCAACAGATTTTGTACTGAGTTCTTGTCTCTTGGATTACCCCTTAATATTCTCATGTGAGTTCTTACTTTTCTTGGTGTTTACACTTTGGCAGTTTTAGAGAGAGAGAGAGAGAGAATGAAAACTGATGGTGGATACAGAATCATTGTGCAGAAACAATGCTGGGAAATTCTCACAGAGGTTGGAGTATTCTGAAGACAAAATGGAGATGACTTTTGCTACAAATTACTTGGGTAATCTTCTAATTTTAACCTGACATTCGTTTGTGGGTAAATAATTTAAACCTTACATTGTAAAAAATAAAGCATAATACTATTGAGATGCAATTTAGTAACCTACTTTTCAGATCCAATTCAGTAAAATTGTTGGATTTATAGTAAACTACATCTAATGTTGAGACTTGCTATTAATCTAATAGCTAGAGTAAAGTATGTCAATAAATTAGATTCAAGTAGTATTGCCCAAAACTAAAACATTAAATCTTTAATTCTAAGGGATATCTCAAGTGATAACAAGGACGAACCGTAAATTCAGATCTCCTGAGTTTGAATTTTGATAATCCCTTGAGAAAAGTCACGAGGGATAATTCCTTGAGAAAAGTATGTCGCCGTGAATGACCATTTTTTGACAAGATAAATGAGATAATTAATCAAAGTGTACGTAAATTAATCCAACTAATCGAAAAAAAAAAAAACCCATTATTACTTTTAAGTTTTAAACAGTGGCTCACAGTATATTGGTTTTTAAATTGGGATAGACCATGTGGTGTGGGCTGGGCCATCTTTGTGCCCAACTAAGTCCAATTGGTCCTCCTATGTATGGCCTTTTTTGAGTGTGAAATTGGTTGTAAAATAAACCAATAACCCATCGATGTACAATCAAAATTTGCTGTTAGAACCAATCAGCAGAACAACTTGGATAGCAAAGTCATAAAATCCTAAGTTTGAATCTCGTCATCTCCTAAGTTATTTTCTTACAAGTCTTCCGTTCGAACCTAAAAAATAGATATTTTGGCTGATCAGATAGATACCCATTTATTTTAGTGTAACTATTTGCATTGTAAGTTTAAGTTGTAATCACGAGTCTTGATCGTAACAGTTTTTAAATTATTAATCACAACAAGTCAAAAAAACAAGTGGAAAAGCAGCTTAGCAAAGATTCTTCATTATCTAAATTAACCTTTTCCTCCACCTCGTTGCTTATTATATATTTCCTTTCGGCAGGTCATTTTCTATTGACAGAAATGCTGTTAGAGAAAATGATAGACACAGCAGCGCAAACAGGCATTGAAGGAAGAATAGTGAATGTCTCTTCTGTAATTCACAGCTGGGTGAAAAGAGACTCTTTCTGCTTCAACCAAATGGTCAACCCCAAAAGGTAACAAAAACTTCCCCTTCCTACTGTTAAAACAACCCTCTCCTCCAAAAACGTAAACTGTTGGAGAGAGTATAACTTAAGTATTTAAATTTCAACACACCCCCTCACATGCAGACTAAATTTTGAGATTTTTTTTTAATAATTAGAGTGACGGCAAGATTCGAATACATAACCTCCTAATCTGATACCACGTTAAATAACCGTCTACTCCAAAAAAACTTAAACCTTTTGGAATAGAGTACATGGTTTTTTTAACATCTATCATAACAATTTTAATTTATCTTTTGACTTTACTTTACAAAACATTATCCGATCAGTACATATTGTGGGACACGACATATGCCAAAATTAACGCAGGTTAAATAAGACATAGAGATTAAAAACGGGAATTTTGTACGTTGGGTACGATATTTTTTTATTTAAATACTAGTAATAATCATAGCATATTATTATGTATAATTAGTTTGCTAATCAAAATTTAATTTAATTTTTTTTTTGTTTCAATCATGGCAGTTATAATGGCACACGTGCTTATGCTCAATCAAAATTGGCCAACATATTGCATGTCAAGGAAATGGCAAGAGAGTTGAAGGTAGACTATTTTATAACTTTTCTCCTTAATTATTAAGCCAGGCTGGCTATTAATGATTAATTTTCTGTTATTTTCATTGGCATTATTAAAGGTTGATGATTCTTAACAGGAAATTAAAAAAAAAAAAAACGGGTATCATACATTCAAAATTTACTATTTCACTGAGTGTTTTATAATTTGTATGGGTCATTTTATATTCAAATAATTTATCAATGTTGTGGATGATTTACCATTGTTGCGGGTGTTTATACATTGTTATGATAATTTTTTTTACCATTTTTCTAAGATAAAAAAATTATTATTATTTTTATAGGTGATTTATCATATTTATGAGTGTTTTTATCACTGTTATGGTAAAAACGTCAACAGCAATGATAAAAATATCCATAAATATAGCAAATAGAGATATGATACCCAATTTTATTTTGTTTTCAGTACCTTTGACAACTTTGGAAATTACTACTTGAAAAAGGGTTCATCCTGTAGGTCATAATTGGATTGATTTGTCCAACCGTTTAATGAGTAGATTGCATATGAGTTTAACCTCTAATTTTAAAACATCATAACATGATTTAGACACCTAACACGATACTAGACCTAACTTCGATTCATCTTGACATTTCGAAAACCTAAAGTCATAAAGAAAAAGTTCATGATGAAACATATAAAGTTGGAGATACAATTACTGTACTAAAAAAAGTTTTAATTTAACCTTTAAATGATGTATCTTGATTTTTAAAAATTATATTTTTCGTAATTAATCATAATATTTTATAATCTAAAATAATTTTTCAAGTTATAAGCTGCATCCTTAAGAAATTGTAATTTAGACTTTATCACTTTCAATATGATACCGAATAAAAAAACCGTACTCGACTCGACTCGATGTGTAATTTGTATGATTGATGGAATCTATTGCAGGCAAGAAAAGCAAAGGTAAGTATCAATGCCGCCCACCCAGGAATTGTGAAGACTGGAATCACCAGGGATCACAAAGGTTTTATAACAGGTATGCACATTCATTGTCCATGAAACAACCAACTTTGGTTTCGTTTTTGTACAGTTCTGAGTTTCAAAAACCAAGAAAAGAACACTAATAAATCTACTGTGTACTTATCAGATTCTCTATTTTTCATCGCATCAAAGTTGCTCAAATCAACATCACAGGTTTGTCCACACATGCCCATCTCTCTTATTCACCTGCAGATTCATCCTCTCTCTCTCTCTCTCTCTCTCTCTCTCTCTCTCACACACACACACACACACACACACAGAGAGAGGTTTGATCCAGATAACTTGGGAGAAGACTACCACACCCAAAAAAAAAAAATTAGTACCGTGCCTCCAAGTTTTGTGGGTTTTTAATATAAGTTTATGACAAAAAATTTATAACTTTTTTCAATCATGTTATAACTTTTCAAGATTTTACTTATAATTAGGTATTGTTAATAATTTTGCGGTAACTTGCGATTGATCCTAAAAATATTATGACTCCCAACATTTTTTTTATGATCAATTGCAAATGAAGCTGTCAAAATTACAAATAACTCTAAAAAATTGTATACATTTTGTCAAAATTGTCAACATTTCTTATAAATAACTCTCAAATATTGTAACAAAAAATCCTCAAAACTTGGTAATGGGAATCCAATATCACAAAATAAATAAAAAATTCGATACCGTAGACTTGTCCCAAGAAGTTTTCATTTTGTTCTTCCTAATGTTGGTATGGTTTTTTGGCAGGGGGCTTCCACCACATGCTACCTTGCTCTAAGCCCAAAAATAGAAGGGGTGAGTGGAAAATACTTTGCAGACTGTAATGAGAGTCACTGCTCAGGCCTAGCAAATGATGAAGCTGAAGCCCAAAAGCTATGGAAGCAGACTCGTGTATTGATTTGTAGGCGACTACGTGCATCCGTAGCCTAAGATTTGCAATTTTCTTCTGTAAACTTATACAGGTTTAGTCATGTATATATATATATATATATACATCTATACAAAGGGCATCTGCACAATAAGTCTGCTGTTAGGTGATGCTAAAGTGGATGACAATAATAATATCAACATTAATTAATGTTCCTAGCTTCGCTTGAATACTCATCGTGAATAACAAAAGCAAAACATTGATGGTAAGTGTTGGTTTCTTCTTCCTTCTAATCTCATGAGCTCTATTCCTTGATCCATTACTCTTGAAAACCGTCCTAAAGTGCTCTGAGGGAGGCTCACCATTCCATGCAATTGTCTGGCTGTCTTTCAAGAGTGGCAGAGCAGTGAACTGAAAACTAATCCAAGGCTTCCTAATTCTAGTGACAAAAGATTCAACTGTGACATAATGCTATCCGCAATCTTATGGGTAATAATGCTACACTGACTATAATGAATGAACAAAATTTTCAAACTTGACTCAATTATCAGCCCTAGTTGTAGGATGCATAAATAAATATAAAATCATACTCATGCATGTTCTTTTCATAATTAACATCAAGGTGCTTCCTCCAGAAGTTGTTTTACAACCAACAACTAACTAAAAGAATTGCAACATATCAATTGCTTTCATTATTTTCTTTTCCTTTTCTGCTTTTTTGCTATGCAATCAATTGCCATACAATAATGAGCAATTCTAACTTTGTGCAATAGTCAGACTGGAATTAGTAGTATGTTGAAAGCAAATGTTTTGAAAAACTTATGTTAAGGGAGAGGTAATATTTGTGTAACAAGAACTGATTACCTTCAACACCGACTCTAAGAAAGCATAACAAGTTGAGAAAGGTGGATTTGTCCAAAGCCAGTCCACGTTACGATTTGGGCTCAAGTCGTATAATGGTTCTTTTTAGCAATTTCATTTCAGGAGCTGGCTACATCAGCAGTAGAGGACCAAGAAGACAAACTGACAATTAAAGGGACTCTAAAGAATCATCCTACCATCAGACATCAGATCCTACCATAATCAAAGTTCAATTTGAATAGAGCAACAAAATTAACAGTAAACCCCAGGTAATTACTAAGTTCACCCAAGATCAACTGCAGAAGGCACAAATAGGCTCAGGAATCTAACCAATGCTAAATGAACTTCCAAATTATTATCCATTACCTTCTCTCTTTGCAAAAGTATGCTAAAGGGACCATACCGTCACATTGACAATATTCAACAACAATTAAGAAGATCTTAGTGAGATTATATTTCACATAACAGAAACAGCTAAGGCAAAGATGTTAGTAACTCATAACCAAATTTTAACTTAACTTGCATCCATTCACTAGCTATAGTACATTATGCCACATTATATTTACAACCTACAGCAAACCTGAAGTGCACTGGATTGTTTTCAGCTGTAGAGATTGTCGTCATCTTCACCCGCATGAGCTGAAGAAAATGGGTCTGAAGCTGTAGCAGTAGCTGCACTCCCACCACGATCTGCAAAACGGAACTCAGATCCAAATCCACGAGATTGCTGTAAAGTTTGAGCAAAAAGCTGGTACTTCCTGATGTCTGCATCGCTGACACTTCTGCGGGCATACTTCATTGACTCCTCAAAGTGTGTCGCCTTAATCTCAGAGACATCATCAACATAATCTTCTTCCATGGCTTCAGGGTTCTCCATCTTCTTCCTCTCCCTCTCTATATCCTGGAATTGTCAAGGTGAAAAAAAATGAACATCTTTCATCTATGTACAGGAGAAGAAAAGTTGGGATCCATAAATATAGATGAACGCGCATATTCTAAATAAAAAAGCCATTACAATTACAACATACACGTAACAGTACTTCTCTTTCCTTTTTTTCAATGCAGTACAGAACGCAACTTCATGAGCAGAAAAATCTCTCACCTTCTCGATATTTTCTCTGATGGCGTATTTACAGGCACGTTGGCAAATTTCAGTTATATCTGCACCGCTAAACCCACGAGTGTACCGTGCAAGAGCTGCTAGGTCAACATCCTTAGAAACTGGAGACTTCCGCAGACATGCTTGAAAAATCTGAAGACGGGAAGCTTCATCTGGAAGTGGGATATAAATCAATTGGTCCAGACGACCTGGCCTGAGGAGCGCAGGGTCAATAATGTCTGGCCTGTTTGTTGCCCCAATGATGAAAACTGTTTTCTTTGCTGTCATCCCATCCATTTCTGTCAGCAATTGATTCAAAACTCTATCTGCAGCACCACCAGCATCTCCTAACGAATTACCACGCTGAAATTTGGCGTAGAGGGAGTAGGAAAAATGTAAGGAACAAGATTGTAATTCTGTGGATGTGATAACAGTATGCCACAAGCAATAAGTGATAGTCAAGGTTGTAGATTTGTGAATTGGGATGCACTCAGACTTTTGCATAGAATGAAAATGAGTACCTGAGTTGCAATGGAATCAAGCTCATCGAAGAAAAGCACACATGGAGCTGACTGGCGTGCTTTGTCAAATATCTCCCGAACATTTGCCTCACTTTCTCCAAACCACATTGTTAACAATTCGGGTCCTTTGACACTTATAAAATTGGCCTGACATTCATTAGCAATAGCCTTGGCAAGCAAGGTTTTGCCACAGCCAGGAGGTCCATAAAAGAGAACTCCTTTGGAAGGTGACATGCCAAATTTTTCAAACTTCTCGGGATGCTCCACTGGGTATTGCACAGTCTGCCAGCAGCCACAACGTTATGAAATTTCATTTATCATGAGCATAAACAGTTACCATGAAAATATAAGAGAAACATCTGATTATCTGAATAAAGGACCAAATGCATTTGAAAAAACTAAAAATAGGAGGATTAATCAGATAATCCATGCCCATAGGGACAAAGCACATACCTCTTGAAGCTCCCGTTTCACATTGTCCAGCCCACCAATATCCTCCCAGGATACATTGGGTACCTCCACAACCTGACAACAAACACAATCCAAGTCCACTAATGTTGAGAAAACAATACGACAATACCACTGGGACAAGGATGCTGGTAAATTAGGGCCTGTGATCTCAATCAACAAATTAACTCCAATTTCTCAGAAATAATCTTCCATTAATGCAATGAAGACCTAAATAATCTTAGAAAAACTGGTGCACGGAGACACTCTAAGGATCTCTGTGGTGTTCAATTGCAGGCCAAACTTTTCCGTGTTGTTGGGGGGAGGGAGGGGAGAGAGAGATCCGCCATGATTGATTTCCTAGGAAACAAATGGCCCACAAAAGAAAAAATTTCAAACTTAAAGATCAAACAAAATCATTCATAAAGACTTACTGTCTCACGTAAGGCTGAGGGATTTGAGGTACTCGATGCAGTTTGGAAGTGCTCATTGGTCACGGCCATCGAATTCAGTACTTCAGCATCGATTGTTTCATCCTCTAGGTCAATCACATCCATTTTCTCCCTGATGCACTGAAGAGCAGCCTCAGTGCACAGAGCAGCAAGATCTGCACCGACATAACCATGGCTATCTTTCGCAACTCTTTCGAGATCAACCTGTGGAACAATGTCAGTAGTACATTTAAATGGTAATCTTTAGATTGATAGTATAATAATGACATGGTGGTCTAGAATCTCACATCTTCAGCAAGTTTCATATTTTTCGTATGAATCCGAAGAACTTCTAATCTTCCCACCTCATCAGGTACACCAATGTCAATCTCGCGATCAAATCTTCCAAATCTTCTCAAAGCAGGATCAATGCTATTGGGCCTGTTAGTAGCCCCCATTACAATCACGTGAGTTCGAGACTTAAGGCCATCCATCAAAGTCAAAAGCTGAGATACTATACGCCTCTCAACTTCTCCATGTGTCTTTTCCCTCCTTGGAGCAATGGAATCTAACTCATCAATAAAGATGATAGATGGAGCATTCTTTTCGGCTTCCTCAAATGCCTTCCTCAAGTTGCTTTCACTCTCACCAGCCAACTTTGACATTATTTCGGGACCATTTATCAAGAAGAAGAAAGCACCCGTTTCATTAGCTACAGCTCTTGCAATTAGGGTTTTCCCAGACCCAGGAGGCCCATAAAGCAAGATGCCTTTGGGTGGCTTCACACCAATTGACTTGAAGAGCTGTGGATGTCTCAGAGGAAGTTCTACAAGCTCACGGATTTGAGCCATTTGCTTCCTTACTCCACCAACGTCATCATAGCCAACTTCATTCAATCTCTCCTCGTCCTCCCGTTTGATGGGTTCTCCGTCACAGAAGATCTCTGTATCAGGTGCAACAATACAATATTCACCAGGGTCTGTCTCAACTACTTTAAATTCAACACTTCGCATTCCACCTCTAACTTGGAAAAGGTCACCCTTCCTCACTGGTCGGTAAGATTCCAAGAAATATGCTGGAATACCAGAAGAAATCACATCACACATCAAAGTTAGCATTCAGAAAAACAAAACCAAAAACACATGGAAAAGAAAGAGATGACCAAAACAGATAAGAGTGTAGGCATACGCTTCAAATACACATCAAACAGGTTGCCTGTCAAACCCTCAATTGTGTCATCAATTGGAAGGATGTGAACTTGCTTTCCATACTTCACATCGGGGCATTGGTGTACCGCTACAACATCTCCAAGCCGTACACTAAGATTAGCTCGAACCACTTTGTTCATTCTGATTTTTGGTTCTTCACATTGTTCATCACCTAGAACAACGCAGATTGTATCTCTTCGTCTCTTCCCCTATTTACAAACAGATTCTTTGTAAAACCAGGAGCAAAGCTAACCCCATATTTGTGGAAAAACGAAACCTTACTTAGCAAATCACCTTAATTAAAACTGTATCTCCACGAAAGAGCTGAAGTGCTTCCATTTTAACAGGGTGCATCGAAACCACAGAATTGTCATCATTTATAGCCTCATCAACAATAAGGCGATTTGGGGACTTCTTGCGTTCCAAAATTGCAGTGGAATAATCCCTCTTGTTGCTTTTCCTAGCATATTACACAATATAAGTTTGAATGTAAAGAGTAAATGGACAAATGAACAGATTATTAAAAACTGTAATCATATGAAAAACCTCACGGCAAAAATCTGCATATGTGACACAAACCTACAAAATAAGACATGATTGCAAACACCACAAAAGAAATATCCCAGTAAAGGATAGTTTTGAAAATCAAACAAGACAATTTTAGCTTGGATTATGAACCCCACTCAAGCTCACTCAGGCCCAAACCACCAGGGTAGCACCCATTGGAACCAGAGTATAACAGAGTAACCAACCATATCCACACTCAGTCCAATTCATTCAATATCAAAGTAGTCAAGCATTATGCCATGAACCAGTATGTGCACAAAATGTCAATTCCCACCCGTGGGGAAAAAGACCTCCAAACCAAGAAAAAGGGGCTAACTCATCAAAAAAAAAAAAAAAAAGCACACAAATTGGCATCTCTCCATGGTTATATTATCAGGTGCCTTGAAATGTCAGTCATTTGCAACTATCATCATCACAATTGACAGTCTACTAAGCATGCAGCCAAAACTCAGAATTCCACGTTATATTGAAGTTCAAATTCTATCAAGAAGGGTGTCAACCAATGTTTGAATGTAAGCTGAAGTGGCCCTATCAGCATAGAGAGCCCAGCTATCATTCTCGCAATGAAGCATGCATTTCCAAATTCAATTTCAAGGGTTTTACAGTCGAAATAACTCAACAAACACACTCCAGTTAAAATTAAGCAAAAAATTTCCCTTTAATCAACATAAACTTCAGTTCAAGGGCATATATTTACAGAAATCACGAGCTGTGCATGTAAAAACATTATATTATACATATACATATGCACTTACATATACATATACATATATATATATTTGTATATATACACATATAGTCTGTTAACGCAAGCATGTATTGAATTCGGAGTATGAACGGAGAAAACACGTACGAATCGGCGGAAGAAGTAGTCAGGCCATGGTCTGGGGCGGAAGAACTTGGATCCGCCATTTTTTAACATCTGAGATTTTTCGGTCTTGTAGTATTAGAATCACTTTGATTTATATACAGAGAGAGAGAGAGAGAGAGAGAGAGAGAGAGGGAAGGGAAAGGGGGGAGGGGGTTGAGTCGGACCAGCCGGTTACCGACTTCAGCATGTAAATCTTAAGTTGACAAATTTTCCATGCATTGGATAAATGACACTTTTGTACCCTAAAAATTAAAAAATTTATATTACATTTTTAATCAAATGAAAACATAGAGATGTGGTCCGTTTCAATAAAATTAAGTACAATTTTTTTCATGTAAAATGCTTAAAATAGAGCAATATTTAATTATTGTATTTAAAAATAAAAATATATGACAAATATAGCAAAAATAGAGCAATATTTTTTCACCTGATTGGGAATGCAATAAAAAAATTGTAATCATTCAAGGTATAATAAAAATTTAAAAACCATTTAGAATTTAAAATGCCTTTCACACTTATAATAAATCGATTGGACTAATATTAAATATGAATAATGCAATTTTGACGCAATAAATTCATTTATTATATATTGAGAAGATAAAATTTTAGATGGTGTTCATTATTTTTTTTAATTTCTTCATCTGGTGTGATGTGAATTCTTATAACAGTAAATGAATTTAAATTGACTTTTTTAGCTTTTAGAGTGAGTGAATGCTAAGTTTATTGGAGATATAAGGGGGTTTGGTTTGATGGCTTGACAAGAAGGTCCTAATTTTGGATATTTGATTCATGAGTCANAAAAAAAAAAAAAAAAGCACACAAATTGGCATCTCTCCATGGTTATATTATCAGGTGCCTTGAAATGTCAGTCATTTGCAACTATCATCATCACAATTGACAGTCTACTAAGCATGCAGCCAAAACTCAGAATTCCACGTTATATTGAAGTTCAAATTCTATCAAGAAGGGTGTCAACCAATGTTTGAATGTAAGCTGAAGTGGCCCTATCAGCATAGAGAGCCCAGCTATCATTCTCGCAATGAAGCATGCATTTCCAAATTCAATTTCAAGGGTTTTACAGTCGAAATAACTCAACAAACACACTCCAGTTAAAATTAAGCAAAAAATTTCCCTTTAATCAACATAAACTTCAGTTCAAGGGCATATATTTACAGAAATCACGAGCTGTGCATGTAAAAACATTATATTATACATATACATATGCACTTACATATACATATACATATATATATATTTGTATATATACACATATAGTCTGTTAACGCAAGCATGTATTGAATTCGGAGTATGAACGGAGAAAACACGTACGAATCGGCGGAAGAAGTAGTCAGGCCATGGTCTGGGGCGGAAGAACTTGGATCCGCCATTTTTTAACATCTGAGATTTTTCGGTCTTGTAGTATTAGAATCACTTTGATTTATATACAGAGAGAGAGAGAGAGAGAGAGAGAGAGAGAGGGAAGGGAAAGGGGGGAGGGGGTTGAGTCGGACCAGCCGGTTACCGACTTCAGCATGTAAATCTTAAGTTGACAAATTTTCCATGCATTGGATAAATGACACTTTTGTACCCTAAAAATTAAAAAATTTATATTACATTTTTAATCAAATGAAAACATAGAGATGTGGTCCGTTTCAATAAAATTAAGTACAATTTTTTTCATGTAAAATGCTTAAAATAGAGCAATATTTAATTATTGTATTTAAAAATAAAAATATATGACAAATATAGCAAAAATAGAGCAATATTTTTTCACCTGATTGGGAATGCAATAAAAAAATTGTAATCATTCAAGGTATAATAAAAATTTAAAAACCATTTAGAATTTAAAATGCCTTTCACACTTATAATAAATCGATTGGACTAATATTAAATATGAATAATGCAATTTTGACGCAATAAATTCATTTATTATATATTGAGAAGATAAAATTTTAGATGGTGTTCATTATTTTTTTTAATTTCTTCATCTGGTGTGATGTGAATTCTTATAACAGTAAATGAATTTAAATTGACTTTTTTAGCTTTTAGAGTGAGTGAATGCTAAGTTTATTGGAGATATAAGGGGGTTTGGTTTGATGGCTTGACAAGAAGGTCCTAATTTTGGATATTTGATTCATGAGTCATGTGTGTTAATTTGAATACAATGGGTCTCTCTCGAGCCAGCTTAAATAACTAATTTTAAAGGGTTTTGGAGTAAAATCAATTCGGTCAATTTGAATCATCGTTTTTTTATCAGCTTATGTAGCAATTTTTTGGACCTAAAAAGTTTTATTTAGGCTGATTCATGCAAATGATTTTGTGTTTTTTTTCCCGTCTTTTTGGAGTTTTAATTTATTATATTCATAAAATATTATTAGCAAAGTAACAAAATTTGATATTTATATTTTGGGACCTATTATACATAATCTATGTATCTATGTAATTATTTTTTTATATTGACATAAAAAAAAAACTAAAAAGTCACTTCAAAAAAACTTTACCAAATTTTTAAATTTTTTAAAGAACACCTCAAATAATTTTGGGGACTTTTCTAACTCTGAATATTTTTTGCAAAACTTTTTAAGCTTTAATTTTTCACCTAAAAAAGCCAATTTCAAGTACGCTCAATATCATCGATAAACAATCGAGTTAATATCAAGTCACTTTATATGAAAAAAACCAAACAAATTAGATCAAAGTGGATTAATGTTTAATACGAATTTAAAATAGTGTGACTTGATCACAAAAGAACACTACTCAACTATCATCCCAACCTCTTATTAGGACATCTCTAACTCTTATCATTTTTTAAACTCAAATTTAATTTCAAGTAAAAAAAATTTAAAAAATTTTCTCCAATGTTATACTGAAATTTTAACTCAAATAAAAGGAGACTCAAACATTTACTCAAATCACCGATGGTTAAATTTCATTCTTTTTTAAAATTCTAATGGCAATATTATACCCTCCTTTACATTTAGGTTTGTCCCTATTTAAATTTATATATATATATATATTTTAAAGTTTTTCCATTAAAATATTTTCTATAAAATTAAATTTTTTACCCATTTATTTACTAAAATTTGAGTAAGGGAATATGATCTTATAAAAGCTTCTGAAGAGGCCCTTCAACTAGACTGACTATCATGTTACACAAAATCTCAGACAGGCCCCGTCAATTAGATCAAAGGCCCCAACATCCCAGAGGATGAGCTTGATCCAGAAGTGCAAAAGGAATCCAAGCCCACACCACTTTTAATTGAAATTTCAAAAGAAAAGAAAACAATTGGCCGAAGGACTTGGCCCCTAACTCACTGATCTACGTCACCCTTGTTATATTTTTACTCAATTTTAATCAATGATGGATCACTCACCGTATATAAATAAGGGATCCACTTATAAAGAGTGGATCTCATTTAAATCTGTAGTATGCAATAGAGAGCAATGCATACAAAACTTTCAACTCCACTGCAAGAACAGTTGGGTAGGCCAAGGAAAACGGTCATGCCAGTGTAGGTGATTAGTTGAGTGGTGATGGGTGTTGCAGAATGGATTGAGTCGATAACAATGCATTAAGTACTCAAAATAGATCCAATTATTTTTATTATTTGAATTATACATATTCTTTTTTATGATTCATTAAACAAACATTTTTTTCCTAGGAAATTTGACTTAAAAAATCGTAGGATAACAACAATGTTTATCCTAGATACCGAAAAACATCGTTCAAGTTTATGTTGAAAAAACAACTCATACTATTCCCTACTAATTCCCTCAACACAAAAGTGTATTGTACCAAGATCGCATTTAAAAAATAAAGTTATTAGAAAGAGTATAAATCAAGAATTTGTAAACTTCAACTTGTCCTCTCACGCATGACTTAAATTAATTTTGAGCCAAACAAGTTTTAAGTCTTGTAATTATAACGGTGGTGATGAGATTCGGACACAATATATTCGGTTCGAATACAATGTTCCACCAGTATCTCCATCTCAAAGCCCTGGGGTTTCTCTTTTTTGGAGATCATCTTAGGCAAGGGGTGATTGGCACTTCTAGAGGCATATTACTTTAACTCTATTCTTTTCACAAAGACCCACTCTCACTTTCTCATCCACCTCCACTCTGCACAAAAAAGGAACACTGTTGGAGGAATATTGGTCCATATAGAGTGTCGTTCTCATCACAAACATATGCGGAGAATTCAAGTTATCTCACTGGAACACACGACCCTTTTTAAAAAGTTGGTCTGGGATAGAATAGATTCTCATCCCCACAACCTAACAATATATTCAATGTATGTATGTATATATATGTGTGTGTGTGTGTATTGTTAAGTATGGGTATTAGTTGAGTATATATGGGGGTGCTACGTACAGTGACATCGTGTCACCATTGTCGTGTGTGTGGTATTACCATTCAATAATAAACCGACAATTAGACAAGGTGAACCACACTTGGTAATTATTTTCATATATGAATAGATAGTTACAAAATTGATCGCAACCTAAGTAGTTGGTGCAAGTTACAAGAGAAACCACCCTCCTAAGTGGAGATAATCATGGTACCCCATGATTGGGTGGTTACAAGGAGGTTACCTTGGTGATTACTTCCACCCACATACATATAAAAAAATTCTCAAGTTTTTCAAAGTAAATACTCTCCCTCTCTACAAACTCTCTATTTGTTTTTGCATTCTCCTTGGATTAATACCATACACCCTTAGACTTGTAAGCGTGGGAACTCAAGAAAAAACTCTAGTAGCCGTTTCTTCTACATAGTACGAGATTTTGGTGTGTAAAGAAGCTTAGGGAAGTTCAAGTTTGACATCGACAGCTCGTAACAATAAATATCGATCCAGTTTATCTTTTGGGTTCTTCAAGAAATATCTTGAAAACCAATTACGTGTTATGTGTTATTTATATGTTAACAAATTTGTTATTAAATAGTGACACCACGTGATAATGATGACATAATGTCATCGTTACATTCAATATTTTCTGTTACTGATCATTTGGAACTATTGTGTAATTAATTTAGACTGCCAACCATGCTCTTTCTTTGATTTTTGAGTAGAATAAAAGTGTTACATGCTCTTGAACTTGAACGAAAGGAACAAACTCCTACAAGAGATAAGTGAAAAAATATATATTTTTTTTGCTTTCAAAAAGAGGCTCGGACAAACCTTGCTCAACCAGTTACCCTTTCTCAAAAAGCTGAGTCAATTACTGGGAGTTGTCCAGGGAATCGATAAAAAAAAAAAAAAAAATCATTGTACTGATATTTATCACATTTGTAAATATTTTTATTATTGTTGTAGGTATTTTTATCACTGTTATAATATTAAAAAAAATTGATAAAAATAATTACCACAACAGTAATAAAAATATTCACAAATATGATAAATCACTCACAAAATTAATAATTTCTTTATACTAAAAAAATTAATAAAAATAATTACCACAATAGTAATAAAAACACTAACAATAATAATAAAAATATTCACAAAAATAATAATTTTTTTAATTATAAAATGACCCACAAAATTTTTCAATACCTTAACCAACTCCCAATTATTGAAGGTAATCAATCCCAGTACATCCCTATAATCACTCCCTTGACATCTGGCTTTTCAAAACATTTGCTTTTAACATACTACTTAACTTTGACAATTACAAAAAGTAAGATGCGGTAATTATTGTACTACATACTACTTAATTATCTTACACTTCTCTTAATTGCTTATTGGTAGTAAAACAATGAGTAAAATTTATTTCAATACATTTTTTTTTAATTTTTTTTTTTAAATCGTTTATCATACATTCAAGTTGGATCTGTTATTTATAAGTGGGTTCCTTACCTATATCGACCAGTAAAACACAATCTAGAAGAAGCACCTTGCCATGAATGGTGAAAAGGAAATGTAAGAATATGAACTTGATTCTATTTTTTTTTTAAAGTATCCCACAAATGCAATATTTGAAAAATTCTAAAAGCAAAGTTTCCTCTTTGAACAAAGTAGAAGGAAAAAAAAAAAGAAAAAAGAAACGAATAGTTTTCACCTTTTCCACCGTATTCTCTGCGTTACTTTTGCTTTAACTGAAGATCACACAAAAGAATAAAGAAATTCAACAGTTGATCGTGACATTTAATAATTGACAGCATCCAAGGTCTTTGCACTTGATTAGTTACTGTTCACCACCAAGGATTGGGGTAATGTTCTATTCACATCAAACTGGAAAAAAAAATAAAAATTAAATGATGTGATACTTGGTGCCGACCAATTAATGTTTAGAGTATTTCAAACGATAGATAGATTGACGTGCGAAAAAATGTGTTATTTTATAGAGACTAAAATTTGAATGATACTTTAATTAAAATAAAGAATTAGTTGAATACGTGAAAAGGACACGGACATTGACATGTGGATGGGGGATAACGAGCATAAGCTCACATAAGGGTCTAAGGTCACATAAGGGTCTAAGCTCGTAAGTGGTACTCTATTATTGGCTCTTGATATTTGAGCCAAAATTGTGAGCTTCATTTCACACTAGGGTCTCTTGTCACTAAACTTGGCTACCTTGGTTTATTTTTCAGTTCACTGCTAAGCCACTCTTGAAAAACAACCAGAAAACGTCATCAATGATGAGGGGAAATGGAAGAGAAAAGGTGGAGGCCTCTTGCAATGGCATTGTTCGTCGAATGGTGAGCTTCCCTCGGAGCATTTTAGGAGGATTTTCAAGAGTAATGGATCAAGGAATAGACTTGATGAGATTAGGAGTAGGAGGAAGAAGAAACCAACAACATTTGCCTTCAAATTTTCCTCTACCACAACTACCAGAGCCAGTAATGGTTCAGGAAGAGTTCGCCTTTCTCGCGAATTTTGAGCTGAATTATGGAACCATGCACCCTTTCTTTTACGCTTGCCGGTTCATGGAAGCTCTTAAGATGGCTCAAGAAGAGAGAAAGTGTGTGTTCGTGTACCTTCATGCACCAGAACACCCATTCACACCCTCTTTCTGTTGGGAGACCTTGTGTTCAGAGGTGGTTATACAGTTTCTTGATGCAAACTTTGTTTGCTGGGGTGGACTTTCAGATAAAGGAGAGGGTTTGCAGATGGCTACCACGCTCCAGCCGGCCAGCTTCCCTTTTTGTGCGGTGGTGGCTCCAGTTTCCGGTGACAACTTAGCAGTGCTGCAACAGGTGAGCAGGAATTAGGAATTCTAAACTCTGAACATGTATATAGAATTTAATCTTATTATCAGTTAGAAACATCACCAGCCAAACACCTGGCACCCTTCCCCCTCAAAATAGTTTAGGATCGGTCATCGACTTGGAGGACACTAGGACGTAGCACTTGAGCCCATATTGATATCAACTTATACTTTAAATCATACCCTATGGAAACCCATTGCCTTCTCAACTATTCTCAACATGAATAGTTTAGGTCTGGTCCTATCGATCAACTTAAAATACTTGCAATCAATAGATTAATGCTTTAAAATTGCACCTTAGAGATGAAAGTTGTAAATTAACATTGTAAAATAGTAACCTATAATTCAAGGGCAGAAGTCAAACTTTTTTTGGGAATATCACATCAAGGGGATATAGTTTGCCCATCCAGGAAGGAAACTTTGATCAGTTCTAGAATTAAGTTTGACCATGTAATGTAGCTTTATTTGTAAATCAACCACAACCACTAACCCCCTCCCTCCCCCCCCTTCTCCCCCAAAAAAATGAAGTTAAAACAATGATTTGCAATTTTTTTGAAACGATTTTTAAGGATTTTGTACCGTCGAAATAATTTTTTTGGGTAAAATATACTTTTAGCCTCTAAAATATGCGTTTAGTATCTATTTAGTCTTCAATTTTTTAATTGTGTCTATTTGCTCCCTAAAATTTATAATTTGTATATAAGTAGTCTAATCCCAAACGTTCGTAAAAAAATTGTGATGGTTTTGGTTACGCGTCAATCACGTGATTCCTAATTTTTTGTTTGTTTGATCTCTAAAGTTTTTAATTTGTGTCTATTTGGTTCCAAGTGATTGGTGCGTGACCAGAGGCGTTAACAATTTTTTAACGGACGTTTGAGATTAGACCACATAGATACAAATTAGGAATCTCAGAGACTAAACAGACACAATTGGAAGATTAGGGATCAAATATACACTATATGCATAATTTGAGGACTAAAAATATATTTTACCCTAATTTTTTTGTTGGGAAGTACAATCTAAATTGTTTTATGGAAATTAAAAGGGCAGAATGATAAAATGATCATAAAATTTTGAACTTGACCAAGTAGGAGTTATTAATGTGATCCTAAGGTCTCTTGCTAGCCTTCTCTTGTATAGATGGAAGGGCCAGTTACCCCAGCTGAATTGGTGGAGATACTACAGAGGACAATGGAGGAGCAAGGATCAGCATTTAGTGGTGCATGGGCCAAGGAGGAAGAGAAGAGAAGAGCCGATCGCCAGTTAAGGGAAGAACAAGACACTGCATATCTTGCAGCTCTACAAATAGATAAGGTGAACCGGATTCTATTATTTTCCATGCTTTAAGTTTGTTGGCATTGAACAAAATGTTTGCCTCCTTCCAGGAAAAAGACAGGCTCAAGAATGCAACCTCAGAAGAAAGAGTTCAAAAGAAAGCTTCAAATGTCACAAAAGATGAAAAGTTTAAACAAAATCCTATACAAAAGCAAGATGGTCAAGTAAGAGGGGGAACCACTGCTAGAGAAACTCCACAGAAAGATATTGCAAGCAAAGGAAAGGATGTTCAGGTCACCAAGGTATTGCAATGTATCCAATTTTTGGTATAGGGTTATTCTTAACACCAACATTCCCCCAAATATAGTAGGAAACCAACCAATTTCGCGGGTACGAGCTTAGCCTTGACACTTGACAATTAGGTCTCTCAATAGATTGGGTCGGGTCCATGTCTGGTTTCTACAACATGTAAGACATGTTGATGCAAAATTTTCCAACTCTTTCATTGTGTATGATCATATTTAGGTCATGTCGTACTTATATCATATATAAGTCATGCTTGATTGTATTCATGTCGACCCTATTTATTTTATGAGTTTTGTTAGTTTATCTATTTACCACCGAACCCACCAAGGCTAATTCCAAACACGTCAGTCTTGTTGATTTTATGTTAGTTTCAATATTGTGTCTAAAATTGCTAAATCTATTAATAGTTAATGGATCCAGAACGAAACTAATCACTGTAACACAATTATAAATGAATCGGATATGAGTTAAAAAAATTAATACGGATAAAAACTTACACGATTTAAAAATACGACACATGCAAGTTTTTCACAGGCTTAAAGATACTAGTGGGTGCAACATGGTTGTAACTTTCCAAAGTGATAATGACATTATTGTTGCAGATACAAATACGGTTCCCAACTGGTGAAAGGAAGGAGCAAAGCTTCTCATGCACAGACAAAGTTTCAGCAATTTACAGATACATTGATTCACTGGGCTTGACTGGAGGTGGAAGTTACAGATTGGTATCGAGCTTCCCTAGAAAAATCTATGATGTACAGACGATGGGAACCACTCTTAAAGATGCTGGTCTCCATCCCAAAGCAAGCCTGTTTCTAGAGCTTCTTTGACCATGTATTGATTAATGACAGACCTGTATGAAAACATCTATGGCTACCTATGGTCCGTAGCTTATGTGGGTTTTAGGTATGTATACATTAGTTCTGTGTCAATTTTCTTTTCAGTTTGCATCCTCTTCTCTCATGTTTCATTATATAGTTATACTACGGAAAAATAATTTTTTAATATTTATATCAAAATATTTATTTCTGATTGTGACTACTGGTTTGAGTTATCATCAGTCATCACGGAAAAAAATTATCCTTGCGTTGTGAGTTGTAACATATGACTTCGAGGAATTTTTTGTAATGCACTGCTCTTATTGTTAGTAGAGAACTCTCTCTCTCCCTCTGTTATACGTTTCCTTCTTCTCCTAAGTTTAGAATTAACAACCACCGAATAGAATAGTCACGAATTTCTCGCCCTGAAATTAGAGATTCTAGTCTTTGAGTCCACATGAGACTCGGTACTTAACTGTTATGCTAGTCTAGTTAGGTTTATTCTCGAGAAGAGTAACGGGCGTTGTCAAGAGTCTCATGATCTAACAAGTGAGGGTCTATTAGGGTGATTTTTGGGTGCTCTCTTTGCCCCCACCTTTTTTTTCAATAGCAAAAAATAATAATTTAGAATTAGGGTTTTCCTTTTTCAAGAGTTTTCTCCATTATTTTTAATTATAAGCTCTATTCTATTTCTAGTTCTTTAATTCTTGCAAAGCGATTACTTTCAATTGTCTTTTGTGAACAATCTACATTATGTGTGATTTAATTCAAGATAATTTTTTTTACTTGCAATTTCAATTTAAGTTAATTTTTTGTTTAATTACAATTATATTTTCTTCAATTGCTTTTGTTTTCAATTTCGTAATGAGTGAATAGTCATTTTTTGGTTTTATCGGATGAGAGAATCTCATCCGTGAATGGGGATATTAACCTACTTAGAGTTTTTTTTTTTTTTCAAAGAATGAGTTATTTGGTTGTTTGAATGATTAAAGTTGAAAACACATTCGATATGTATATCTTCTTACTTACCCGTAGATATTTAAATCTGGTACGAATTATTCTTGGAATCACTGAAATCGATGTAAATATAATTCTTTCAAAATTAGGTCAATCAACTTAAACACACAAATGTTATTTTTAATGGGGTGTTAATTGAATATTTTTCGATTAAGTACGTTTGAGTACAATCTTGAGTAAGTCAAAAAATTGGGTCAAAATATTTATTCATTGTGAGAAGAACTTTGCCGATTAGTCTGCCTTTTCCTTAATTGTTATTTCTTGGTTAACAGTTCTTTCAACCAATCTTTCAAAAATTCAAAGTTTTTACTTTTAATTGTCTATCACCTTTTGAATCACTCATTTTTTCTAAAGAACTGACCTTGGTAATCTACCAAATTATAACGTGATAATCTTCTTATGCTTGGGAAATCTTTGTTATTTAACCCACTTTTGAGGTCAACCATACTAAGCTATTAAGGAGTGTCTAATCATAATAGCTTGTCTTATACCCCAACCAATACCATAATTGGATACTCATTTCTTTCAATAGATCTCTTCACTGGATACACTCATCAATGTTGTGGATAGCTTTACTTGAACTCCTCACCGTACAATTTTTTTAGGTCTCGAGCACTTCTAAGACACACCCAAGATTCTTAGTGTGCATACTCTTCAAGTGGGTTTAGCAGAACCGAGCACGTTATTCTTCTCCAAGGTATGAGGTTGGATAGAAATCATGAGATGAGTTTAATCTTTGGATTTAGTGATCTAAGGTTGCTCACAAATCAATGAGTCTTTAGTCTAATGGTACTACTTACTTTGTAAAGGTTTTGCCTTCTTAAGGTCAAGGGCTCAAACCCCCTCCCCCTCAAAAAAAAAAAAAAAAAGTTGCTCACAAGCTCACAAAGTTTTTTGATACGCAGAAAATGCTCTCATGAGGTTTACTCTAGCATAAGAAAGACACCCTCTATTTATATGCTCATAATAGGGTTTATCATAGAGACCAAGAAAACACAAATTCATGAATGATCGCTCAAACAACAAGAGAAAGGTGGGAGGGCTATGGTTGCTTGTCACACCTCAATTTCCACAATAGGCATGAATTAAACTACAAACCATTAACCATGAAAACATAACTAAAATAAATCAATAAATAAATACAACCATCCATAATCCAATAACTAATTAAACAAAATCTCAAATCAAACATAAATAACTCATTTAGGTTGCATGTAAAACTAGAATAATTATCCTCCAACTAACTAATTAAAGAAACATTCATGAACATTATCGAATCATCAAAATCAGAAATCTAAAACAACAAAGACACTCTCTAAGCCTCAACTTTAAGATCTATATCTTGATCTGCTGCCAAATGAAATATAACCTGCTCACCTATGTCAATGTCACTCTCTGCACGGAAATCTGAAAAATTCTCATAATTTAAACTTAGCTAAAATAAAAAATCTAATTTGACTCTCTATATTTGGACAACTAAACTCACTCTCTATCTATCATTAATAAATAAAAATATGGTAAATATACAATTTTTATTAAATGCTTTTACTATAATTTTATTTTTCTACTAGAATAGAACGTCATACTGAAGATGTTAAAAAAATGCCCGTCTTTATTTTAATTTTTCATAATATAGGTTCTTTATTTAACAAAAAAATGTTCTCTAAAATAGAGAGGTGTTTATTTTAAGGACATTGATAGTTTTTTTTCTGTTATAGGGTGTCCAGACTTGCACCGACTACTCCCTTGAACTCTAAGCTAACCAATCTTGCAGCAACTAATTATTTATGAGAAATTTTCATCCACATCCCCTATAGATAGACCTAAATTCAATGATACTCCTTTTCGTTTATGAAATTTTACTAACACCCCTTTTCATTTCTAAAATTTCACTGACACTTTTACGTTTATACCCATACCAAATTTATAAAATTACCAATATAAAATATTTATTTATTTAAATATTGGCTCATATAACTTCAATAACACCCCTTGCTAATTTTGAAATTTCATTGTACTCTCTTTTAGTTTAACTAGTTGGTGCATGAGTGCGTTACAGGCCAACTATTTTGACTTTTTATAAAAAAAAATAGATAAATTAAACTAATTTTATTTATATTTATATAGAGATGGTTATTGAATTTTATAAGGCTCACTTGTCCACCTGTTCCCTTGTTAGTGGACGGTACAGAGTCACACTTCTGACGTAAGATTTTACTCGTATTTTGGGTTGTATGAACTAAATTGTAAAAGTTTCAAAAAAAAATTGAATTGCATTGCATTTAAAAATTATAATGTTTAACTTCAATAAGTGACTAATAAATAGATAACTGCTGATTTTTTGGATTAATAAGAAGTTACTACAATAGGTTAAGTCTTTTTATCTTTTTAAGGATGGTACTATCAATTAAGTTTTTTTGACAACTGTTGACATTTAAAAGTAGTATATAGATTATTAGATTTATTTAAATATTTACTTTTTTAGTAAATTTGGATATGCACTATATTTACCTATAAATATATACAAACATATGATGTAATGTAATTTTGGTGATTATTTAATAAAATTGAGTAGAAATTCATATGTTAAATGTTAAAATCGCCTCTAATTAACTTAGTCGGATAAGAATATATATATTTTTTAACGGACTCATATATACATTGTGAAAAATAAAATTCGTTGGACAATTGAATTGGATTCGGGTCACATTGTTCACATCGGATTTAGATCAAATTTATATTATTTGGAAGGGAAATGCTATTTGAACCTAATGGGGACCTAATCTAGTGACTTAATTAAATACAACCATTGGATTGGTTGTGGATTTCATTTAACATTGGAACTCACAATTAATCCAATGGTTGCANGGGGACCTAATCTAGTGACTTAATTAAATACAACCACTGGATTGGTTGTGGATTTCATTTAACATTGGAACTCACAATTAATCCAATGGTTGCATTGAAGCCACATCTTTAGGTCCCTAAATTAGGTTTCCAAATAAAGTCCCTATAGCATTGCTCTATTTGGAAAGAAGATAATCAAAAGTCAAACAATGAATTTATTAGTTGAGTTAATGCAAATAATAAAAAATGAAACAAAAGTTTTTGAAAATAAAAATGAAATCAAAAATGGATAAAGTGGACATTATAGAATTTTTGAAAATAAATAAGAAAATCAAAAGTTTTTCTCTTAAGCCACTTTTATTAGTAGTATAGATAGATATAGATATAGATACAGGTTCATCAATTTAAAATTTAATTTTATCAAATTAATGTCATTTCTTTAATTTAAACTAAATTAACATTCAATATCATCAAATTAACATAAAATTGATATTTAATTTAATCCAATTAATATTCAGTTACATTAATTTAATACTTCATTTCATCAAATTAGTATTATTTCTTTAATTTAACACTAAATTACTATTTAATTTCATCAAATCAACACCAAATTAACTTTTAATTTTATCAAATTAATTAATTATATTAAATAGAATATTAAATTCCATTAATTTAACATTTAACCTTATCAAATTAATGTTCTTTCTTTAATTTAACATTAAATTTTATCAAATTAATACTAAATTAATATTTAATTTTATCAAATTAATGCCAAAATTAATATTTAAATTTATCAAATTAAGATCAAATTTATTCAATTAACATTAAATTTTATCAAATAATATTTAAATTTGATAAATTTCACGTTAATTTGGTAAAATTTGATGGAATTTAATGTTGATATAATAAAATTGAATGTTAAATTAATAAAATTGATTGTTAATTTGATTAAATTGAATTTTAATTTGGTATTAATTGTATGAAATTAAATATTAATGTGGTATTAGTTTAATTAAATTGAATGTTAATTAGATGAATTAAATACAATTTTGATGAATGTGAATACTAATTTGATAAATTTGAAGTGTTAATACCCTTTTTGGTGGCTCTGGGCATATATAATAGGGCAAAGGGTTGATGACATTTTAGTCTATTAACATAATAAATGGTAAGTTTGAAATTTTTAAAGAATAGGTAGTTAAATTGTGCACTTTTTCTAATGTTGGCAAAAGAAGTTACCATTAGGAGATGTCAATGATTCTACACTATTAACTAGAAATGGTGCAATAAAATTTCAGAATCGAGAG